GCGTGGTCTCATCCACTCGCACAGCCTGGGGCTTGATGGCCAGGTCCACGCTCGCTGTGTCCAGGCTGCGCTGGTTGGTCTTGCTGTTGTAGCAGGAGGCGGAACGGCAGTGGTCCCGCAGCCACACAAAATCGAGGCGCATCAGCGTGTTGGCATACCTGAGCTCTGGCAAGGAACGACACCCTCAGAAGACTCATTGCTCTCAACGGAGAGGAAAAAACAAGGCAAAGAACTGCAGCTGAGAGCCACAGGTTACAATCCCCCTCACCACGAGCGAAGCAGAGTTTGTTGCACTTAACCCCTCTTTGCACAAGCTAAGCTAGTTCACCCTGTCAGGAAGGAGCAGCCCAACTACCTGAGAAGCGCCAGGGGTTTTGTGGAACACGTGGCTGACAGAGGTCCCACCGTAGGCCCCCCTGCTACCAAGTTTACAGGCAATCTCACCCCGCAGCAGGAAGGAGGGCAGCTGATCACACAGCCATGTATCCCGCCTTTTCATCAGGGAGTAAATTCAGAGCTGTGCAGCCGCTGCTCTGCACAGCGTGTCCCCACCATGTAGTGTTAGATCCCTGCACAGGGAGAAACCACCACATAACCCAACATCCATATTGTAAAACCATTATAGGCATCACCTAGACCTTGACACCTGGCTCTGCTGTCCATTTAGCTTCCTTCTTCCATCGTGGGAGAAGTTAGGAATAGCCAAGGCCTTCAGGAGGGTGACAGAGGCAGCACAGGCAGCAGGAAAGTGCTCCCTGCTCTAGCCCTGCTCAGAATGAGGCTCTTGTGTTGGATACAGAGGGATACCAAACAATTCCCTTACGCTTAAAGGGACTTCCTCAGGCTGCCAATATCTCCTAAGTATCCTCAGCAGATATTACTCAGGCAGATACCAGACCTGTACCAAACAGGCCCTGGTAAAATACACGCCCTCAGTCATTACCTTTCTCCAAAAAAAGAGAGGACTGAAGTTATCATGAGACAGAATTACAGCTGGCTTAAGGAATAAGCAAGGAGCTTAAGGGTTTAAGCTATCTCACAGAGGGGTCTGATCTGCACTGAAAAGGCTTCTCTTATCTCCCCCTCCTCATGCCATCCATGTAAACCTGCTCTGTTTCACAGATCAGTGTTCAAAGGAAAGTCTGTACAGCCTTGAGTGTGCCTGGGACACTGGCTACCTCTGGAGCCGCTTCACAACTAGAGCAAGGCAGAGGGCTGGGGACACAGCAAATTACCCCTCCTGCCTGCAAGTCACGGCCTGAGCCCTGCACAGAAACCTGCTGACCAACAGGGCAGGGTACAGACAGAGTTCAGGAATTCCTTGGTTTGATTCTGATTTCGCCTTGCCTCCTTTATCGTGAAACATTTACAGCTGGAGCCAAACCTGCTCTCTCCTGCCTATGGGGAATCCCGAGGCAAAGCACGGATGCTGGCACACATTCCTCTTCCACGCTGGTGGCCAGGGCAGGTTATTTCACTGGGAAACAGGGTCAGGAGAAAAAACCCACATGCACCCCCCGTTCCACGCGCCCGAGCCCGGCGCGGGCGCACCGGCGCCCGCAGCAGGGCCGGCAGCCGCCAGCTCCACATCCTGCGGGAGAGAGCGGAGCGACGCGGTGACGCGGCCGTGTCACCGCGGCTCCACGCGGCACCGGGACGGCGCTTTGCTCCCACGTCGGCTGCGGCAGGGCCTTCTGCGGACAGCAAGGATAGCCGGGAGGAGCGGGGAGCTGCAAGGGAAAACTGGCTGCCCTCGAGAACCGAGAACCGCACGGGGGAATTAACCCTGGGGCAATGGGCTTTTCTTTGAACAGGCTAATCCGACCCAAGCACACGAGCTGGGGAAAGGAGGAGAGAGACCAGAGTGTGTAACCGATAAGAATAACAACCAGAAAATGGTACCATGAAGAAACAATGAGATCCAAGGATTTACCCAAATTTTATCATTTCCAGAAAGGACTGCAGTGCTCAGTACTACCGTGCAGAACGCTGACAACACCTTATCTGGCTGCTGGTCTTGTCCTCTCTCTGCCCATCCCAATCTGAATTCACCACTCCTGGGCAGTGCTGAAGTGAGCAGTGACCTCAGAGAGAAAAATGCAAACTCCAAGAATCCACTAATTAGGTCAGGTCTGGGACAAGAATTGCAAAAGAGTGAGGAGGAGGAGGATCCTTTCTTGTGCTGAAGGGCATGACGGGCATGGAACAGAAATCGTCTAGAGTTAATCTTAAATTAGAGACCAGAAGACGATTTCTCAGAGTGACATTTGTAACAGTTCTTCAGTACAAAGAGCAAAGACACAAACCCCACAGTTTTAAGACACGAAGTTGCATTTTAAACACCCTGCCACATGTTTATCAGGTTCTGGCGATCAGGTCTAAGCCCAGTGGGATGCGAAGGGCTGCACACCACGCACGAAGCCCTCGCGGATTTTAAACCACTTTCTAGCGAGAGGGCTCCAGCTCCGGAGGCTGCAATAACCCCCCAGCAGCACCCAGGGCCTGGGCTCTCCTGTAAATCCGCAGGTTTCACATCAGAGGGTGACGCTCGACTCCCCGTAGCAGCAGCAGCATCGGCAGCGACCCAGAGCTCGAGCGACTTCCCACCTCAAGCCCTGCGAGGAAGCCCGTGGAAGCCGTCGCAGTCTCTATGGGTGTCGAGGGATCAGGCAAGACCGCGGCGCCCTCAGCACTGACAGGCTGAGCAGCTCACGTAGCCATAGCCAGAATTACAGCAAAGTTGAAGAGAGACCAGAAAATACCTGCTTTTCTCCCTGGCGGTCGCCAGCCAGCAGGAACGTGAGGTGTTGCAGAAATAGTCTGGGATTCAGTTGTGCCAGTGCTAAGTTCTAGGAGAATCCTTTTCAAACTCCCAGGGCACTGAAAATGTACAGGTATGGGACAGGGAAAAAGACACAGCCAAATCTGATATGGAAGCTTAATAAAAACGCTGCATGCAAATCTGCAAAAACGCCTGCAGAAACCCTCAAGTTGACTATTACAGATTTACAAAGCCAGCCTGTGGATGTGGCTATACTGGTATTAGTTATATTGGTTATATATAATAATATAGTTAAATCATTCGTATATGGTGTTTTTAGCAAGCAGATACATATGAATGATTTAACTCCCTGAATGGATGTTATCAGTCATAAAGCTTCAGGCTGCTCAGAAATACTGCTCCTCACCTTGGTTTTAGTACGAGTCTGGATTACCAGACATGCAGAATTCACTCATCTGGGGTAAGATGATTCTGTGAACAAAAGGTACTTCATATTAAATAATATGTACTACCCAAAAGTCAAACTATCACTAAGAGACTCAGCTGAAACCCCTAGACTTGCTAAGGAAATACACAGATGGGTATGTACAGGTATATGCACCCACAGACTTTTCTGCTTGCCATGCTTCTTGGAGAAGAAAAACGGCTTCGTTTTGATGTTAAATGCCTGCGGCCTGACAACAGGCCAGGCTCTGCTTCACGTCCAAGCAAAGCCAGGCCACAGAGGGAAGGTCGAGGAAGGGGTCTGGGCTGTCACTAGGGTTTCTGCTTAGCCACGCAGGCCCTTGGGGTCGTAAGAGCAAGGTTTGATTTGCAAAAGGAAAGATGCATGAGCGAAGAGTCGGTCCGGTTTGGATATTTGAAGGATAGCACAAACTCAGCAAAAAGAGAGATTGGGATGGCAGGGAACAGACAGAGAAGAGGGAGCGAAGCTGCTTGTTTGTGTCTGTGTCTGGTATCTCCCCACGCACGACGCAGCCCATAGGAAAAGCCCATCTCGACCCCGCTCAGCGCTGCCTGGGGCAGCTCCTGCAGGATTATCTCTTCCTGCACATGTCTCTTATCTCCCTCCTCTCCCAACATCAAAACTGGCCAGAGCATAAACACAGGTAATGCAAGTGACCAGGATACTTAATCCAATCGAGGAGAACTCTTGCTTTTCTGCTCCTCTTGCTGGAGACTGACACGGCAATAAACACTTCACAGCAAACCCTTAAGCTGCACCTTTCCAAGAGATACTAAAGCCTAAACAAGCTGAAAACAAATGCCTATACACAGAGGATTTACTAGCTTTGATTATTCAAGAGCAAGGGAAAATGTAACTCTCCCTCCTGGACAGAATTGCTTATTTGAAGTTAATTTTTCTTCCCATACTTACCACCTTTGAGCCTTCACAGAGCCCCCTTAGAGAGCACTGAAACGCAGCAGCTGAGGGGTTCCCAGGCAAAACTTCCCTGGAAATTCAAAAAGGGAAGGCAAGAAGGTGGCGACACTGAACGCCCCTTCAGGGAAACTCACATGGATCTGAGAGCTCCAGTCACCGGCCTTGCCCCTCTGTTGAAGGGAGACTCGATCCCACACTGACACGGGAGGGTGTTCGTGTGCGGCTCGACTTATCCAACACTCCACAAGATGACGGAAAACAGGAGCATCTACAGAACCACGACAGAGGTGACAGCATGAGCAGGAAACGCAGAGCAGCGGGCGCGGGAGGGAAAGGGAGGACACTCAAATATATTGGGATTTTAAGGATGTCGTAGGAGAGAATAAAGCAACATGCTATGAATGGGAGAGGAAGGGAGGGGAGGCCTCGTCTGCCCAGGGAACCTCCCCCATCCTTCAGCAGTTTGGCTTGATGCTCCAAGACACGTCTGCAGCAAGCAGCACTGTTTAGGACTCTGATAAACGTCCACAATTTGAGGGGGGGGAAAAAAAAAGGTTGAAAAAACAGTACCCAAACATCAGTAAAAGTGTATGCAGAAAGTGCAGCTCCATCAAAGGGCTTCCAAGAAAACGCAGATCCTGCCCTGCCAGGGCTAGCAGAGCTGCCCTGATGCTCTGACTGCTAAGGTTGTGCATGGATGTGTGGCACCACTCTGTGAAACCATTGCCAGCCTCTTTTCCAGGCTGTCTTATCATTTGCCATTAAAAAATACGAATATTGACGAGTATTGTCATAAAGTTTTCCAAAACATCAAGTGCCTTGCGCTCATTCGCACTCTACCATAAGCATCCACCTACCGCAGAGGTTTCTGACCCACGACCTACCAAGACAGGAAACACCGAGATTTCCCTAGCACAG